ATTCCACAATGGGAAATGCTTGGTATGCGATTATCACTTGTCGCTTTTAAAAGCTTTAATTTATTCTTTTGGGATGGGAGTTTTCGACTGCACTTTTTTGCCTACTCCTCTTTTTGCTTAGGGAACATCCTATTTATCAAATTAAAAGAGATTTCGGAAATCATCTCGTATAATTCAGAAGAGGATAAATAGGCTAAAAAGAAAATCATACTAAGAATCGCTTCGGAAAAGAAATTTCGGAAAAACATGAAATCAAAAACTATTCTTAATCCAATATTGAACATCAGGTGAACCGCCAAAAAGACAAAATATATGAATGTAAAGAATTCAAGAAAAAGATTACTCTTCTCTGGCTTTGAAACTCCAAATAGGTCTTTTAGAAACGAACCGATCTCAGGTAGGTATTCACATTCATAAAAAAACACCAGGGTAAAAAAAGAAAAAAGAAAATCAGATATAAACATCGAGGGCTTCAAAGTGGTACTCTCAATAGATTCATAACCGAAAAATTTCTCGACATGTGATATCAAGCGCTTCTCAGCAACGAGCTTAGCAATATACCAAAAACCAAAATAGGAAAACCAAAAGTTGATTAGACGAGAAATTTTGCATGTGAATTCGGCCAATGTATATTTCGCTACAGGGGCTGCGACATTAACCTCGAGGACTACGGCAAGGGGATTAGGATCGGGGGCAGGCGCACTGGGATTTTTGGGCTTGAAGGCCATAATAATAGGACCTAGGGAAACTAGGAAAACTTCAAGGAACCCTCTAAAAAAATGATAGTCTTTCTCAGGAATTTTTGGCGCATATGCTTGATAGAGTTTTTGAAGCGATATATAATTTTCAAGCCAACAAAAATCCATAGAGAGATAATTGATAACAGGGATTAAGATATTGCTATAACTGAATGGATTAAACAAACAAAAATAGACAATACATGATAAACCCCACGTCTTAAACATTAAGAAAGACTCATCCCAGATGCTAAATGTAATTTGCTTTATAATCTGTAAATACACTTGATCGAATTCTAGAATTAAGTACCGGTATCTCATATATGCCTCAAGTTGAGCTTCGTAATAATTTTCTTCTGCTTCTTTTGCTTTTTGTTGAAGATCTGGATTTTCTGGGCTTTCTAAAGCATTTTTCTTTGCGATATCTGCATTTTCTTTGGCTTTATTTGCAGTATTTTGACAAGATTGTGCATCAAGGTGGGTTTTATATAGTTGAAGTGCTTTTTTCTCTCTTTCTTGGTTGTCGGAGTTTATAAGTTTTGTTAAAGTGGCACTTAAATTTTTAATGGTGTTTTCATCTTTTTTGTCTTCATCTATATTTTTTATACACCTTTCAATTTCGTTAATTAAGTTATTTAATTTTTGTTGAGCTTCTTCACTTAGTTTTTTTGCATCACATGCTTTTTTTGTAGCTTCTTCGAATTGTATATATATTTTTTCTTGGGATCTTTTAAATATTAGCAAGAATTTTCGTCGAGCTTGTTCGTATGCTTTTGATGCTATATATGATACTCTGTTAAGTAGGTTTTTGTAGTTTTGAAATGCTTTATCTGCTTCGCTTTGAGCTTCTGAAACTTGATCAAGTTTTTCAGATATTAGGTTTGTTAAATCTTCGAAGCTTGGCTTGTCTTTTAGATATTTTAAGCCTTCGATTGGATTACCATTTTTGAGATCAAATAATTGGTTTAGGAACATCCTTATATTTGGGTCGTCACTTTCTAGGAGCTTTTTAAGGATTAGCATGACTTTCTTTTTGAATTCGTCAGGTTGGTCAGGTTGATAGTTGTTATTCAATTGGACAACTTGATTGTTTTCTGAGTTTTCAGCTGGTTTTTTTGTTTTGACTGCTTGAGCTGCTTCTTCCTTGGCTAGTTTTCGATCTTTTTTTTTTTTGACTTGTTCTTGAGTCTCTTCAACATTTGCGGCTTTTGAGGTTTCTGAGGTTTCTGAGGTTTCTTCGAGGAGCGAATACATGTTAAAATTTGGGTCTTTTTGAAGCTTTTTTAAGGTTAAAGTTGGTGGTTTCATTTTTTTCATAGTGTCGGCGTTCAAGTATTTTGTTTGTACTGATAAGGAGAGGTCTTTTTCTTCTTCGTTTTGCAGAACTGAGTCTTTATGGTCAACTTTTTCGGCCACTTTTTGTGCATCTATGGCTAGTTTTTTTGCTTKAGCTGCTGCTATAATTTGTCTTTTTTCAGCTTTTTTGCATGCTTTAATTAATTGAGCTTGAACTTTTTTAACTAGTTTGCATGAGTTAATTGCTTGTTTGTTATCTTTTTTTTTTCGAATCTTTCGAGGCATTTTTACTTTACTTTTTCGATCATTAAGTTCTTGATCTAGATTTTGTGATTTAGTTTCTTGGTTTGCAACTTTTAGAACCAATTTTTGTGCATCAGCTGCTAGAGTTTGAGCTTTTTGATCTAGATTTTGTACTGTAGCTTCTAGATTTTGTACTGTAACTTTTTTGTCTCCAGTCTTTTGAGCTAGTTCTTTTAATTCATTTGCTTCCTCTCCAAGTTTTCGAGCTAGTTCTTTTAATTCATTTGCTTGATTTTCAACTCGTTGAAATAGTTTGTCTGTTTCATCTAGTTGTTCTTGTTTTTTTTCCCCATCATGTAATACTTTTGCTAATTGAACTATTGTTTGAGCTTTTTGAACCATTTCTTGTGCTCCACTTGCCTGATCTTGAACTTGGTCAGCTAGTTTTTGAGCTGCTTCTTCTTCTTCTTTTCTTTTGGCTTCTTTTTTTTTAGCTTCTTCGTCTTCTTTGTCTTCTTTTCTTTTGGCTTCTTCGTCTGCTTTTATTTTAGCTGCTTCTATTTTAGCTGCTTCTATTTTTTCCGCTTCTATTTTAGCTGCTTCTATTTTTTCCGCTTCTATTTTAGCTGCTTCTATTTTAGCTGCTTCTATTTTAGCTGCTTCTTCGTCTTCTTCGTCTGCTTTTATTTTTTCCGCTTCTTCGTGTGTTTTTGAGGTTTTTGGGGGTTCTGGGGTTTTTGAGGTTTTTGAGGTTTTTGGGGGTTCTGGGGTTTCTTTTTTTTCCTCATTTTTCTTAAGCCTATTCCGGAATCTTTGCATAAACCCCGGTAGTCTTGTGTTGTTTTTTCGCTTTTTATCGATCAAGGGATTCTTCTCTTTCATATTTTCAAAATTCGTTAATTCGAAACCTTTTTCATCGGAGTCTATAGTTTGTAGTGAAGGGAGAGCAAAAAAGACAACCAGAATTACGAGAAATAGAATCTTTTGAATGTTCATTAAGGCGAGAAATTTTGTGAAAAAGCTGCATGGTTTTTATACCCTGTTTTGCACCGGAAATTTCGCATCCAATCAAAATATTAAATTTAATAATTCTTCAAATAACCAATTAAATTCTGAAATTTTAGTTGCTAGGTGGTCTTAATATGCACTTCATTGGCCAAGTAATTGATTTTATTCTGGATCATTCCAAAAATAGAAATTAGACCAATCAAACACAAGTACATTTGATTTCTGCTAGGACCAGCTAAATCAGAAGTGATGTGTGCATCGATAATTCGCCTATACTACCAGAAAAGCAAGCAACTGACTTACCAGCGTTCCTTCCAAACAGCATTCTGAATATTTCCAAGAATTCTTCTACAATATCTTATCAAATGGGTATCATTGCAATTTCAGCTGATGTATTCCGCTATTGAGCAAGGGATATTCTCCTCAAATAAGAATCTTATTCGAACAACATTTAAACCTCCTGTTTGATCGCTCGAGTTTTCTTGCAATTCACCAATTTTCT